TATTTTACAGAGTCACATTAAACGGTTCTTGTCAGAACTATAAATATATATTTTACAGAAGAACATTTCTGAGCGCAAACCTATAAAATAAAATCTCGCGTAACTGCTTCAAAATTTATATAAAATAATTTTTGTGTTATCCTTCTTACCTTTTCATACACACACACACACACACACACATTATTTGTTATTATCATTATTTTGTTAAATTTTTAAATACATATACAATTATATATGTATATATTTATATATAAACATAACTATTATAATATTGCCTTACTAGTTTTTATTTTTGATGTTTTAAAGACAGTTTAACGCTAATTATACACAAATCTATTATAATATGTTATTTTTTATTCTTAATTTTTTAATAATTGATTCACTATGACATTTATCTGTTGTCATAGTTTTTTACTTTCTTAATTAAATATATTTTACTTTTTTACACATACCGTAAGTAAGTTTCTTATATCACGTAAAAGCTAATAATTAAATAAATAAATATGATATAAATTATTAAAGTCACTTTCAATGCAATTACTCTTTTTAATGTTCGCGATAATTTTATGGTAACATATGGCTGTCGGTATTATCGGTAACCGTGCCGGTACATATGGATTAAATCTCGGGCCGCTGGCGCGTGCTAATAGGAGGCAGCCGGAGAAGAACTACTTCTCCTTACGGCGCACGATATGGTGCTCCGTACTGTACATATTCGCGCCCCCCTCTCTAGTACATAAGATACCGATCCGACCAGTTATTGCGCCGGCTGAATCCAATCCGCGATATCTTGCGCGCGCCAATTACAGCCGCGAACCGCCAGTTTGTAAGGGTATAATACTCCTTGCGTCACCAGACACTGTACATACACATCATTACTTAAAATATAAATTTACTACACTACAGCATTAACCGAACGTGTCGCAATCTCTTCCTTCTCCTCACCCGAATCCTGGTCTGACCGAGCTGTCCGGCAGGCGGAAGGCCGGGCAAGCCGCGCGTTACACGGCGGCTCCGTTACAATGTAAAAGTTCTGTTGTAAGGTGCTAGTGTAAGATTAAACAGTATGTTTAGTTATATGTTTAGTTATATGTTTGTGTAATTCCGGTTTGTGTTATCGATCAGTTTAAAGTGCTTGTTATAAGGTTATTGGGGCTACTGGAATCCGACGCAAGGATCCAGTCAGCGATCGCTACGCGAAATGTGATAGCGCGTCCGAGGACGCGATGGCCAAAGGTCGCACGTGCGGCCGAAAAAATACAGTGGTCTGCATTGCACTTTTCGGACACCGGATATCGTCCGGTTTTTCCTCCGCCAATCACGATTGATTGGCTGAGGTATAAAAGCCGGCGTCACCCGTGCTTTGTTGAAATAATCCCAAAACGTGTTGCGGCCGAAGGCTCTGCTCGACAAAGCGTCGCTTGTGAGAACTTAGAAGTTAAGAATTTAAGGTGAATCAAGGTGTAAACACGAGTTGTAAAGAAACGTGTAATTATACAAAATAAAATCTGTGGTGCTACAATAAGAAATCAGATATCTTTTTGACGTCCCTCCTCGCGGCATCCTAAGGACCTCACGGGGTAACAAAAATTGGTGGCAGCGGTGGGATGCTGCATTGGAAACGCCGAGAAGAAATTCTTGCCATCTGCAACAGAAAGAAAGAAATTTTTTTCTGTTAGTAAGAAGAATAGAAGTAAAAAGGGAACGGACGATTCTCAAGAAAAATTAAATAAGCTGTAAGCTAACTGATCTATCTTAACTACGGACAGCGATAGAAGTCGTAAGACAACACAAGAAAAGAGAGGAGCACACAAGGTAGGCACTCGGGAGTAACTGAGCGAGAGCGAAATAACTTTGACTCAGCGATAAGCCCGAGCGGCTGAAGAAAACGACACCGCACAAACCAAGTGCCTGTAAAAAATAATTAAAAAGCAACGGGAGTCACGGAGAACCAGAAGGATCGGTCTCAAGAAGCAGGACCTTGGTAGGATCCAGAACGTTGAGTTTAGCTGAACGCAGCCAGCAAGAAACGAACCGAGCGGCAAGCAAGCAAGAGCGGGCGGCCGACGGAGAACGAGCAACCAACGGAGAACGTGCGAGCGACGGAGATCGAGCGACCAACGGAGAACGTGCAAGCGACGGAGATCGAGCGACCAACGGAGAACGTGCTAGCGACGGAGAACGAGCGATCAACGGAGAGCGAGCGGCCGACGGGGAGCAAGCGGCCGACAAGGAGCGAACGACCGACGGAGAACGAGCAGCCGAGTGAAGCAGGGCGGCGAGGAAGCAGCGCGTCAGCGGCGGCAGAGACAGTCAGCGACACTGATACGAACACAAGCGTAAGGCGAGATGCGGCTACTAATGTAAGTCAGAAAATTCTTTTTTTTTATGTGCGAAAACCGGGAAATAGCGGACGAGTTAACGCCGATTAACATTAGCGGATTTCGATTAGATTTGCCTAGTTTCAACGTACCGGGCGAAACGCAAAATAAATTGTGGCTACATTCGGAACCGGCAAAGCGAACGTTACAACATTAAAAACTAGGGAAACATAGAGCGATCCGTGTCAGAATAGAGAACCTCGCAGTATCGAGAGGTCCGGTCAAGTTCGACGAAATTTGGCTCTTGAATTTAATAGCGGAAGCGGTAGCACAAATGAGAACAAATTACAAGAGAAAATTACGGTAGACCGCGAGTTTACATTNGATGTAGACGAGAGTTTACTTTCTCAAGTAAGCTCTGAACCGAGAAGACGGAGGCCTTACATTAGCCGGACTCCGAGTGACGTGTCCGAACGCGGAGAATTTTCATTAACCTCATACGATAGTAGTGTATTCGATCCGAAGGAAATATATACGGAAATGGCTCACGCACCAAACGACTCGTTGGACGAACGGCTTGAAAGAGTACATCAGACACAAGTTGACGTGGACACAGAGATAGACCGAATGCGTAGTGAGTTAGGGGGTAAACAACCCCTCCAAGGAACAGCGGGCTCGAACAGACCCGCGGGCGAGGTCACGGAGGCGGGTAGAAACTCCGATGATTCCTCAAATACTTTGTTTATGCGCGAGTTGATGCAGGCCTTCCGAGAATTGCAAACTGAAGTGCGAGGTCTGAAGCGGCAAGTAGTTTGACGCCGTACCTCACAGGTGTTCGAGGACGACGAACCGCTTAGACGTCGCACAAGGGCCGACGATGTAACGCGAGAACGCGATAGCGCGCTGGACGTGACGTACGGACGGACGGCAGCGGACGTGAGAAATCAAACGGCGCACTTAAGTGATTACATGTTGTTGAAAGAGGCGCGCGCGATGATACCAGTATTCGACGGCAAAACGCAGACGCAGTTACGCGAATTTTTAAGTGCGTGTACTTACGCGATGAAAAATATNAATCCGGTAGACGAAAGAACGCTATTGGAAGCAATACTATGTACCAAACTAAAGGGACAGGCCTTGCTGGACTTTGAAATGCGAGATATTCACAGTTTCAAACAACTGAAAAATGAGTTAGAAGCAACATACTCTGCTAAAAAAGGCACGACGGAGCTACAAATTGAGTTCAGTTCTCTAAAGCAGAAAACGGGGGAAAACGCGCTAACGTTTGGACAACGCGTAAATCAACTTGCCATGGAGCTTTACGAATCCATGATCGAAGGAAAAGCGGGGACCAATGAACAAAAGAGAATTATCTTGGAAACGATCAAGGAACAAGCCTTGCATCATTTCCAAATCGGGCTAAAAGATGACCTTAAATTAATAATAAGATCACGCAATTACAATACGTTCCAAGAAGCAATAGCGGGAGCAGGCGCGGAAGAAAAGGCCGCGGGGACAAACAAAAATAAAGTACCGCCACAACCACGAAATGCTAACAGAAACCATAACTGTTACAAATGCGAAAAAACAGGGCATTACGGGCGAGAGTGTCGCTCAAGCCGAAACAGTTTACCGAAACCAGAAGGGCAACGGTTAAATGCTACGAAAAATTATTGCAATTACTGTAAAAAGACGGGGCACAAGAGAGATGAGTGCTGGTTGTTCAACGGAAAAAATAAAAGCAAAAAGAAGCCAAGAGAAAAAGAGAAAAAGTTTGGTAAGCACGATAAAAGCAAAGTGAATACGTGCAAAGATCGTGATTCTTCAAGTAGTGATGAAGAATGCGACCACAGAAGAAAAAATAAACCAATAGAAGCAGCAGAGCTTCATGTGACAGCGGTAGACACGAACCATGCAAGTCTAGACCTAGTGAGCGTACCAATTGTCGAAACAAAAAAGGGCACAGCCGAATTGTTATATGATACGGGTGTGACTATATCACTAATAAAAGTAAAATATTTGAAAGGGAAAACCTTGGTTGAAAAATTAAAAATGAAACTAACCGGAGTAACAGGACATACCGCGCGCGTAAGAGGAAAGTTTAACGCAACAATTTAGTTAAAAAATAACAAATTAACACATCCGATTTACGTGGTGCGAAACGATTTCCCGATCAATTACCAGGGAATCCTAAGAAACGATTTTCTTAAAATATATCACGCGATACCGTGTCATAAAAAAGGAAAAATAATAATTGGAAAAGACTCAATGGTCTTGTATCCATATCACGCGATAACGTTACCGCCGCGGTGCGAGACAATAATACGGGCATTTACAAACGTGAATCACGTGGGTGTCGTGCAAGCAAAAGAGGAACAGCCGGGAATCTTTATCGGGAGTTGCTTACTGCAACCTGAGAACAATGTGTGCCCCGTGAGTGTGATAAACATTACGGAACGAGAAGTGAAGATGCAAATGCCACATGTAACGCTAGACAAATTGCAGTTAGATACGCAAAAAGCGAAGGCACAGGTCGCCAAAATAGAGATAGAAAAGTCAGAAATAGAGCGACAAGAAATAGTGAAAACCTCCTTACGCATGCAACACTTAAATCAAGAAGAAGAAAAAAGTTTAAAAGAAATTTGCGAGGAATATAGCGACGTATTTCATCTCCAGGGAGAGACACTGACCTGCACCAACGCGGTATCGCATTACATACCGACGAAAACGGACTGCAGACCGATAAACGTACAACCATACAGACTGGCTGACAAACACAAGCAAGAGGTAGATAAACAGATAAATGAAATGTTAGAAAACGGTTTAATTAGACATAGCACGAGTCAGTGGAACACGCCACTATTAGTAGTACCAAAAAAACTAGACGTCCGGAGTACGAAAGTTACGCGTCGTAATCGATTTCCGAAAACTGACTGACGTCACTGTAGGAGACTCATTCCCACTTCCTAATATAACTGATATACTAGATCAGCTAGGAAATGCGAAATATTTTTCTACACTAGATCTTGCCTCGGGGTATCATCAGATACCTATGGCCGAGGAGGATAAGCAAAAACCGGCGTTTTCTACGTCGTATGGGCACTTCGAATATAACCAAATGCCATTCGGATTAAAAAATGCACCCGCCACGTTCCAAAGATTAATGAACACGGTACTGGTAGGGATGCAAGGTGTTAAATGCTTTGTGTACTTAGACGACATCGTGATCTACGGGACACATTTAAAAGAACACAATAGCCGGTTAAAAGAAGTATTAAAACGATTGAGAAAAAATAAGTTAAAGTTACAACCCGATAAATGCGAATTTCTAAGAAAAGAAGTCACGTATTTAGGGCATATCATAACGGAAAACGGCATTCTGCTCGACCCGTCCAAGATAGACGCGGTAAAAAATATTCCATTACCAATAAAGTTAAAAGACGCGCAAGCATTTATTGGTTTGGCCGGATATTACCGCAAAGTTATTGATAAATTTTCAAAAATAGCGAAACCATTGACATAATTAACGCGTAAGGAAGCAAAGTTCGCGTGGGGCGCAGAACAGCAAAAAGCGTTCGAAATTTTAAAGGAAAAATTGATTACGGCACCTATATTAGTGTATCCCGATTTCAACCGCGAGTTCATCGTCACGACAGACGCGTCAGGTTACGCGGTCGGAGCGGTCTTATTGCAGGGCGACGCGGGGGAAGATAAGCCCATCGCGTACGCGAGTCGCGTGCTAAACAAGGCGGAACGAAATTATAATACAACTGAAAAGGAATTGTTAGCAATAGTATGGGCTGTTAATCACTTTTGACCGTACTTATATGATACAAAGTTTAAAATAATAACAGACCACAAGGCTCTTGTATGGCTATTTAACGTTAAAGACCCCGGCTCGAGATTAATACGCTGGAGATTAAAGCTAGAAGAATACGACTACAAAATCGTACACAAGAAAGGGAAAGCAAACGCAAACGCCGATGCGTTAAGCCGACACCCGGTAGACGAAACAGAGCACGTAAACGCATTACACACGGTTAGAAGAAGAGCAAGAGAAAAAACGACGAAAGAACAAGAACGACGAAGAGAAGCGCGAACGCGAGCGCAACAGAGAAAAGCGCAAACGCAAGCGAGACAGAAGAACACTCGAGCGCGAGCAAAACGGAAGTTAATGCAAGCGCAAGCGAGAGTGAGACAAAAAAAGACACGAGCGCAAGTGAGACAGAAGAAAGCGCGAAAGCAAGAAAGATAACAGACAACGCAAGTGCAAATAAGAGAGAAAGAANTGCAATCAACGATAAAGCAGAAGAACTCACAGACAAGAAAGAAAGAGAATACACAGAAGAAGAGAAACGAACAATATTATATGAATACCATGACACACCGGTCGGTGGTCACCAGGGCATTGAACGGACAGTGAAACGAATCAAATTACTTCACAATTGGCCAAACTTAACTAAAGACGTGAAGAATTATATAAAAAAATGTACATTTTGCCAAAGAAACAAATTAACACGTAAAATTAAAATGCCGCTAGTAATAACAGACACACCACGTAAACCGTTCGAAAAATGCGCGCTGGATATAGTGGGACCGTTACCGATTTCGAACAACGGAAATAAATATCTATTAACATTTCAGGATAATTTAACAAAATTTAGCAAGGCTATCCCGATAGCAAATCAAGAGGCGAACACCGTAGCAAAAAAATTCGCGATAAAGATAATTTGCGAATACGGAATCCCGGAAGTAATTTTCACTGATCAGGGTACGAACTTCGTGGGCGATGTATTTAAAAATACATGCAAGTTATTGAAAATCAACAAGGTACAAACAACCGCGTATCATCCACAGAGCAACGGGGCTCTTGAGAGATTGCATCAAACGTTAATCGAGTATATTCGACATTTTGTCAGTTACGAACAGACTGACTGGGACGAATGGGTACCCTACGCCATGTTCGCGTATAACACCACCACATACCGCGACGGGGTTCACACCGTTTGAACTAGTATACGGGAAACAAGCCGAACTCCCGACAACATTGTCAAAACCACCCGCAAAAAGTTATAACATAGAAGACTACGCTCACGAGTTAAAAGAAAGAATACGTGCTGCCAACAAAATAGCCAGAGAAAATTTAAAACACGAAAAGAAGCGAAAAAACAATACGACAAACAAGTAAACGAGGTGAAATTCAAAGTAGGAGACAAAGTTCTCCTGTTTGATGAAACGATAAGACGAGGAAGATCGTAAAAGCGTTATGGATCGGACCGTATGTAGTAATTGAAAAAATTTCCGACGTGACGTACGTCGTAAAAAAGGGAAGACGCGCAGTACAGGTGCATGCAAATAGATTGAAACATTACATAGATAGTTAATTTTTTTAAAAAAACTTACCGGTTGGTCTCATCGGAGTACGCCTAAGCAGGGCTCCTCTGGGGGGTCTCGTTCGCGTCACGGTGGGGGGGGTGGTGCGCGGTGACCGCAATCCAATCTATCACAACGGACCGACACACCCCGCACTCCTCCGTAGCGGACAACAGGTCGTCGACGAACTGGCGACGAATACACCCACGACATGCCACCGGGCGGCAGGTTAGCTCACAAAAGGAGCACCTGGGGCCCTCGACGGCCTGGTAAATAGTTGCGCCAGGACCGTCGGTGAGCCGAAGAGGGCGGTCGAGGTGACCGGGATGTTCACTGATAAATTGTACCGCTCGAATAGCCGCCACCCAACAAATAAAACACGATTCGTTGGACACGATGAAGATGATTGGCACGTGATCGCAACACCAATCACACGCCCACGGCCAGGAAGCTTCAACATGACACACAGTGCACACGGCGGAGGGGGGTTCACGGCCGGCGGATCCATTTTTTTTTCTCCTTTTTTGGTTATGTCTCAAATTAAAAGGTACTAACCAGCGGACAAAACGCGACTGACAAGACGCAACTTTAAAAGTTACCATGACCATCATCAGACTTCTNACGTACGCAGAAANAGATANGAAGACTAAGNTTACAGATAAAAAACAGCCGACACNTANAAAAAAGAGAAGCACTCTGAGTCCAACTAGAGTAAGTNAAATGCAACATTAAAACAATGAAGTATTCTCTTGTTTTCTAGAACCTTACTGGTAACTCACACATTGGTTTTCACTCAAAAAGTAAATGGCAAAGTCGAGCCGTCCGAGTATAAGATAACAAGATTCCAAAACAATCCTGGACTCTACTACGAAAAGCAAGGAACGTTGTTCAGAACAGACGAAAAATGAAAATTAGTTATTAGAATAGATATATCGGCAATCAAAAAACGAATTACACTAGTAAATAATACNTTAAAAATAACAAGCAAAATGTGCTCGGATAGCGATGTCCACGACAGTAATAAAGTAAGTTGTCAGGAAGTATATACAAAACTACTAAATAAAGAACAAGAAATAAGTAAAATTTTTAAAAGAATCAAAGAGTCATCGTAGGACTCTCAACACGTAAACGCAGGAGACTGGTCAATGGAATCGGTTCAATAGCAAAGCAATTGTTCGGTACCATGGATGCGGAGGACGAAAAAGCTATCTCCGAACACATTAGCTTGTTAAAAAATAGACAAGTAGCAGAGGAACATGCGATTAGAAACCATCTAAAAATACTAAACGCGACAGTAGCCCATCTCGGTAGAATGGAAAGCGTAATTCAAAATAACGAAAATCTACTAGCCAAATTGGTGTCACAAATCATAGGTTCTGTAAATAAACAAACAAAAGAAAATTTATTAAACGAGTATCTGTTTTCTGTAACCAATATACTACACGAGTTGGAAACTGACTTGAAAGACGTAATAAAACTTGTAACAAGAACGTCGAACAAATTAGAACAACTGGAGTTAATTCCTGTCGAACAAATAATACAAAGTATGCATGAAACAAATAACCGTCTAACAAATAAATTACACTTCCCGTTTGAAATTAGTTTAAATAGTTGGGTAAAGATAAAACGGTTTGTGACGGTTGCTGTGTACTGCAAGGAGTCGAATGTTTTCGTGGTGCTTCACGTACCGTTGGTATGCTCCGTAGTACATGATGTTTATAACGTGATACCCTTGCCGGTGCACGTGCGTGGTGACGTGTTTGCGGTAGCAAACGTTCGGAACACACTCATCGCAGTGGACAGCAATCGACAAATGTATGTGTTACTGTCAAACGACCAGTTGGCAAGTTGTACAAATGTTCAGAGTCAGTACGTCTGCGACAACGTGATGACACTTCATAGGATACAACCAAGTTCTCCGTGCGAAATACAGGCATATGTACATTAGTTAAATGGTTATGTAAGTTGTAAAACGACGTTTATAACGTCAAATCACACTATATGGATTGAGTTAAGTCAGATGCGCGTATGGCTGTATTCAACGGTAAACGAACGGTGTCTTTCAGGTGCGAAAAGCGACTCGATAAGACAGAAGTCTTGAAGGGGACCGGTGAAGTTGAAGTGTCCAAACAATGTGGGTTTTCAACAAAGGATATCATTGTTAGTACAAAAACAATTGTAGAACATACACAAGTCAATACTTACCTGCCACGTTTTAACATCACAGTCACACACGAAAATAGCGAGTTACAAAATCACCAACACAAACCCGACGAATTAAAACTAGAAAACATAACGTTCCGCAAAGTACAGTTACAAGAAATACACAACCAAATACAAGAAATTAACACTAACCTAGATCGAGAGTTCTACAAACAACCGTATTTTGTATACCCCACAAGCCTCGGTGGATTACTACTATTGCTAATTGTAATAGTCGTAATGTATTTTGTAGTAANAAACAAAAAACGAATCTCGCAGGAAACACAGAACACGCGACGAGTACAGTTTAAGGACAGTAAACTTTGACCTACACGAATCCACCGTGGGTACACAAATCGGAGACCCCACATTGAACACATGACAACTACACTAATCTAGTTAAAAGTTAACAAAAAACTTCCCCTGTCAGTTTTTCTTTTTCCAACGAAGAAAAGGTGTTATAAGGTGCTAGTGTAAGATTAAACAGTATGTTTAGTTATATGTTTAGTTATATGTTTGTATAATTCCCGTTTGTGTTATCGATCAGTTTAAAGTGCTTGTTATAAAGTTATCGGGGCTACTGGAATCCGACGCGAGGATCCATTCAGCGATCGCTACGCGAAATGTAATAGCACGTCCTCGGACGCGCTGGCCAAAGGTCACACGCGCGGCCGAAAAAATGCAGTGGTCTGCATTGCACTTTTTGGACACCGGATATTGTCCGTTTTTTCCTCCGCCAATCACGATTGGTTGGCTGAGGTATAAAAGCCGGCGTTACCCGTGCATTGTTGAAATAATCCCAAAACGTGTTGCGGCCAAAGGCTCTGCTCAACAGAGCGTCGCTTGTGGGAACTTAGAAGTTAGGAATTTAAGGTGAATCAAGGTGTAAACACGAGTTGTAAAGAAACGTGTAATTATACAAAATAAAATCTGTGGTGCTACAATAAGAAATCAAATATCTTTTTGACGTCCCTCCTCGCGACATCCTAAGGACCCCACGGGGTAACAGTTCTATATCATTAAGTTTATGTTCTAAACTAAAACATTTAAAGAAGAATAAAGTTAAATTCAATTTTAAAAGCAAATAAATAAAATATACACAAAACTGTATATATATATATATATGTATATATATAATAATAATTTTTGTACGTGGCCTGCAATTAAAAAAACATTAAACGACGGCATATATATATATATATATATATATTGTTGTGCGCCAATTTTTGTAAAGTAAAGGTT